TTTAATCTTATATAACAGTGTAAGTTTTTAAATGAATAATATACCTGACATTTTTATCAAAACAGTTGGATGTGGTAAAAATCCACATTCTTTCAAAATGAAATGAGCAAAAGGGAACGTATAATTAAAACGACAAGCGACAGGCAAAATAGAGACAAAAATAGTTTTAGTCTGACTACAGTCTGGGTCAAAATTTTCGAATATACGATTCTATTTCAGTTAAATTCCACATTGTTGCATTTCGTGTGAATTAAGATTATCCAAGATCGAAATTGAATCAAAAGACCATCGACCGATGTAAGTAAAAAGAATTTAGGCTGATGTCAAGTTTCGCGATAATTTTGCTGCAAATCGGGATCGAGGTCAAGATGCGATTCGCTGCGCAAACGAGAGAGGAGAAAACGAATGCACGTCGTAATCTCAAATGTAAATTTAATTGGATGACCTTTCATTTTTTATTACACATTTTTCTTCCGTGCTTCAATTGATTGCTTACGAAAATTGTGATATATGATATTATAATAAAACAGTTTTCTCATAAGATAAGTGTGAATTGCATTCATTAGAATAAGATGTTCCAGATTATTATAATTTCTTATTTTCTCCATCAGTTTTTATTGCGATGCTTAGAATTGATTAAATTTAAATAAACAGTTACAAAAGTCTAGTAAGTCCTTTTGTTACTTACAAAGTATCGATAATATCATCCCGAATAAAATTAATGTTACACAAGAACATCACGCATGTTAATACAACGTAGTTTTCTATTTTAATTAATTTTGTAATTAATGTAAAATAGTATAGTAACAACTCTCAATATGCATTATTCCACAATCAACTTGGTGCAAGGTTATTTTCTCAAACAAAGAAAATAAGCTGTAGAATTTTTCAAGTCAGTCTGGTACATTTTCTTCACACAAAATTGTCAATTTTTTAAATTTCTACAATTTAAATCTTCGTCCTTTAAATTGTTCTTTTTATGATTTTACTATATCATTCGGATATATATTTTATTTCATGTGCGCAAAGCATTTTGTACAGTCAGATATATAGCAACCGTGACGAGCTTCGTGACTTTGCATGGAAAAGGGATCAACGACGTTCGTGTCGAGTGTGTGCGAGTCGATGGAATACGTCCGCCTCGAAAAGCAAACGAAACGATTTCCACGAAGGTATAAAAAAGAAAAGCGCAGGAACAAGCCGCTCGGAAATAGCCGCGGTTAATTTTGCGTCCGCTCCGTGCTATAAACGTACATCATAGAGAGTTCGCGTCTGTTCATCGTCTGTTCTCCTTCTCACTCTTCGTTTGAGTCCCTTTGCTTCTTCTCCTTTCTTCTGTCTTTTTCTTTTTTTTCTTAGCTCACTATCTCTTTAAAAATACATTGCTGTGTTTCCGGTGAACAGTGGCGGAAATTGCAAGTGTTGTAATATTGATAGATTCAATGAGTGTGTTGATGATAAATGCTCGTGATACTCTCGAATTATAATTATCTATAAAAATTTTGCATATATATCATTACGTAATATTTCTACATTTGCATTTTAATAATTTTTAAATTTGCAAATTAATTATCTGTAATAAATTTATTGTTTACTATGTGTAATAAGTTTACTATAATTATTGTTTACTAATAATTACTCCAGATATTTTAGTAGGTATTAAATAAATAAACAGCATAAATTAACATTTTGTAACTCGAAATAATATTAAAAATATTTTAAACGAAGTAGCAGAACAACAATTGAAATAAACAATACTACTACAATAAATTAAATTACTTGAAGCCTCGTGCAACAGTTTATTTTATGTTTATTGATAAAATCTGTTGTCAAAGTTAATAGTTTTAAAAATGTGAACTTGTTATAAATAAACCTTGATTACTTTCCGGTAAAAGATATAGTTTTTATTAAATTTTATGTGTAAATGAAACATGACTACATATTCAATATCAAACAGTTGTTATCCGTAAAAATTGAATAAAGACAAGAGAGAATTTTTCATTGGTGCAATACAAGTGCGTTTTTTATCCGGTTAAAAGTAATTAAAATCGTAAATGTGTAAATTCTTTTAAGCGTCTGAAAGATCAATAATTTGTACCCATGAACGAAAATTGCGGTGCGCGCTTGCGCTAACGAATGCGTTTCACCAATTTCTGCGGTATTTATTCGCATTTCAGTGATCTTGCAACCCCAAAATGTCAGTTCCCTCTTGCATTCATGATATTCCTGTCATGGCTATCAATCGGATTTGTTTCTGACCGACAATCACGTTAAATCCTGTATGCGCGATTTTATTGAATTAATTATCTCGTGAAAAATACATCTTTATCCGAAAGTGAAGTAGTGTTTAAGTCACGACTATTGTGTACCCCGGAAAAATATCATGTTCATTAAAATATGTATAACTACTACGTTTTACGTCAAACATTCTGTATAAGTCGTCGCAATCTCATGTTAATGTTTACCTCGCAATTTTATAATCCTTTTTGCAATGTGACGTTGAATTTACATAAAAATTTGCAAGCGCGTCAGTTTGCTTTCGTAATTCTGTAATTTTGTAACTTTTTAACTTTATAACAATGTTTGCTTTTTTCTGGACTTTCTATGACCGAATAAGATAGAAGACGCAACTAGTGTGTTGCAGATAGCGTCTTTCTCGTTCACTGACTTATCCCGTGCTTTATCGTCTTCGAGCGGTCGAGAGATGGATCATCCCGCTTTTCTTTCTTTCCTTCTCTCATGTTTTTTCACGAAATTAGATACATGTCCATCAGCTCTACTGTGTCTGACCGTTAACCTCCATTTTCTGGCAACAGCTGAGTATGTGAAATGTAACGTTGCTAATTTATGGTTACACATTTCAAAGAATATCTCACGACTTTTATTATGGAATGCTGAGAAAACAACATTGAAGGACAAAATTGAAGCAGCGTTGGAAACACATAAAAATTTCAGTCACTTGTTCCTGACAATAGTAGATGATTGTTAAAAAAAAAAAAACTTATTAAAACATCATTTAATTATTAAAAACGCTTTCCTTCGTCATGTGTTTTCTTCTGACATTTTTCTCTCCGTATTTTCTTCTACTTTTTATTTAAAAAATCGACATTTATTAATTATGAATAAAATATGTTCTTTTCTTCTATGGGTTGATTTCCAAAAAAAGTAAGTTTAAAAGTTGTTTGTTTATTAACTGTTATTGAATTATTTCTGTTTTATTTAACAAAATAATAATATATCGTTGTTTCGAGTGTATGTAGAGTGTATGTAGCATACAACGGGTCGGCAATAAAGAAGGAAAGAGAGAATAGAATTCGCTGAAAATAGCGAAATGCATATTCCATATGCAAACTGACGCGAATTAGAGATATTTTATATTCATCGAGGTACAATTAAAGTTGTCTGTTTTTGTTTTAAATACAATTTTTATCATATCATACACGTTGCAATGCTGTAATAACATATCTCAATTTATCTAATGAAAATTAATTATTTAAAATTCTTTTAACTCTCTCCGGACAAACAAAATATATGTACTTTCTACATTTTAGTATGTGCACGTACTACTCGTATATATGTATGTTACGCAAAGTTAGTGACTTAAAATAGAAAAGAAAATGAATCAGAATTATTGAATGTAGAAAAGGGACAATAGCTGAGATATTTTATACGTAAAATGTGTTTGAGAATAATTGTTAAAGTAGCAAGAAATATTTTGAGATTTATAAAAATGTGTTCAATATAACTAAATTATTAACTTATTTATTTGATTGTTATGAGGTATTTTACAACTTGAATTGCATTTTTGTGTTATACATATATAGAATACAGAAAAAAGAACATTATATATATTTTCTTATACATATAAAATTTTTTCTTTTTGCTATTATATGTACAGTATATTTTTTTACACAAATAAAAGAAGATCTGCATCTACTTCTACTAATTTTTATAATCTAATTTCACAAATGATTTATTTTAATTGCAATTTAACTTTTCCAATTTTCAAATAAGAAGCTGAATGAATATAAGTTTGCAGGTTTATACGATTTAGTTGTAGTATTTACTGTTCCTTGCTCTATGCTTCTTCCGCTGGTAGAAACGTTCGTTATTTATGACTCCCGTTGGCAGCTGTGGAACTGCATCTTTAGAGAAGCGAGAATCGTTCAGCCGAAAAAAATTGGTTAGGACAACGAACGATTCTCTGATGTCACGGATGATATTTCGTTAGCAGGCTAAAATCAATCGGCAATGCTTTTGACAGGCCGCCTATAGACGCATTTAGAGCCATAAGATTACGTCGGTTCTCTCTCTCTCTCGCGTCAATTACGAGAACATTTCCTTGCTCTAGTAGTTCCTCGCTCGCGGGCGAAACAGATTTATTTACAGCTCCGATTATTCTTTTTATCATATTTATTTTGACCGAGAAGAAGAGATAAATAAGTTGGCGAATTGTGATCTATTAGTTCTATCTCTCTTTTTTATTGTTTTTCTTTATGATTGGAAAGAATATGAAGCGCTTCAGAATATCGAATATTTAGTAACTTAAGTCAATAATATTGTAATATTATTACATTATTACATTATTAATATTATTACTACATCAATATTACTACATTATAACTATATAATATTACTGTATTATAATATTACTACATTGTAACAATATAACACATAGCAAGGCCATGAATATATATAAAATCAAAATTAATTTAATTATTTATTTAAAAATTCGATAGAAATTAAGGGAGAGAATTTCTATTATTTAGAAAAGGATATAAGATGGTTCGCGTTTGATATAAAATTTTCCTCGAAAATATAATTATAGTTTACTTGCGATTTTACAAGAACATTTTTTTATAACAATATCAAATTATATCTGTATCTGTATAATGTGTATACCGTTTTTATCTTCGTCCAAATTTTAAGATGTTGAATCTGAAAATTTTTGTAAAAGCTATTCGAGAATCTTCATCTTTTATTTTTTGTTCTCATTGCAGATGTGCCAAGTGAGCAATCCGTTTTCGTGATGCTGAATGGTGAAGAAAGCGAGCTTAAATTCTTAAACATCATTAATCTTAAAGTAAGAAGAGAGAATAGTCCTTTTACTTATTATATAATCCTATATAGCGCGATATTAAATAAATTTTTGTTTACTTATTCTATTTTTTTTTAAATATATGCAAATAGAATTTTTATTTTATTAAATCAATTTGATTTGTACAGATCGAATTGGAAAAAATGCCATTGCCAGACGCCTTTGTCGTAATGTATTCAGTAATCGACAAGGCATCCTTTCAAAGGGCTGAAGAATATCTCGCTCGACTTCACGATCAAGATCTTCTTCGTGGTAGACCGGCTATTCTGGTCGGGAACAAGGTCGATTTGGTTCGTTCCAGAGTGGTTTCGCCCCAGGGTAAGAGGCGGAACATCTTTCTTTTTTACACATACATTTTTTTCATGAATAGACGGTTTTGTGACACTTTATAAAATTGAACGTTCAGTTAACGTGATATGGTTTATCAGGTAAATTCTAAAATAAAAATAAGATCACCGTATCTGTGTGTACGTGCGCGTGCACTGAAAAAAATTCACGATATTTGAATAAATATTTGTTTAGATAGTACCAATGGGATCATTTACTTAGAGTAAATAAATATTTGTTCAATTAAAAAAATTATACTTAATTTAAGTATCATTTTTTAAAATCGAATAAATATTTATTTCCTATCTAAACAAATATTTATTCAAGTTCCTTAAATTTTTTTCAATGTGTATGTATCGCGTATGATGCTTATTTAAGATAATTAATCGTTTTATGAATGTAAAATTTACATGAATGTATTGTGATAAAACAAAGTGTTTTATATTATTATATTATTATTAAATATTATTATATATTTATATTATTATTATTATTATTAAAAAGTGGCAAATTCTAGACTGAAGGAATATATTTATAAGACTATTTTTTGACTCTTCTTTAAAAAAAGAACAAAGACTTTTTAAGTTCTTTATTAATATACTTCTATTAAAGATACATCAATAGAGAATTTAAACAATAATAATTTAAAAACTCCTTTATTTCAATTGTAATCCTTTATCTCGAATTTTCGGACTGTACATTGTAGATGGGAAATGCTTGGCATGTACCTACCGTGCGAAGTTCATCGAAGTGTCGGTGGGCATCAATCACAACGTTGATGAGCTTCTCGTTGGAATACTCAATCAGATCCGTTTAAAGGTGGTCCAGAGTAATCAGGAGAATCGAAACAGCGGTGGCAGCGAGGGTAGTGCTCACTGGTACAAATCTAGAGGTGTCGTGCGCGCCAGTATGAAAGCCAGACAGATGCTGACCTGGCTTTTCGGCAAAGAAGATAGCAAATTTAAAAATTGTGAGAATCTCCATGTACTTTAAGTCACTGCGATAGAAAAAGATCGTAATCGACCTGTTCGACTACTGTTTTATTAGTCACGTAAGTATGGCATAATTTGAAAAACTTCTTTCTTCGACGGGAACTTGATTAGAATTCTAGAATTGAAGGAATTTCCGTCGGGAAAGGATCGTGAGAATGTAGTGAATCTGCTGAATGGATGCATCTTTGAATCAACAATATGTATGTACCTTAATGTTTAGAATTGAACGTCAAGTCTTCGCTACTGATAATGTTTGTGAGAGTATTTTGTAATCCTAGAACGGGCGAGTTGGTCCGTGGACCAATGGATGCTATTAGCATCGGGTTAACAAAGTGCCAATTAGTGAAAATTAATGCGCACTGAGTTTGGGGAGAAAATCCCTCGATTCCACACTCGTTTAACTAGAATTACCTTCTGAGAAATGTGAGTAATTAATCCTTTCAGTCCCAGGTGTGACCAAGCGTTGCTTCTCAGTAATTTTCTAGACACAAACTTCGTCTTCCTTTTTTTTTTTGAAAGATTAAGTACTGCTATTAAATTACATTCAAGTCTTTATTCAAGCAATGCTGGATATTTAGACTATTTCGTGTCAATTTATATGCTGTCTTATTTCAACAATAATTTGAGATTAATGAAATTAACATTCTGACAAATTTTGTTACGTTTATCGTTATTTATTTTACCTGCTCGTACATTTTTCGTTAATATTCTACTTGTTAAAGAAGAAACTTTAGTAAAATGGGCATTTATATATCGCGCATTTCAGCTTTATGTAATTACAAATGCTTATGTAATTACAGATGCTGAATCTGATGGCCCATAATAGCGCAATCAAAAGTTCAAATCAAATCGTGTGACGATAAGAAAAGAATTTAAACCGGACCATGGTGCGAATTAGTCGCCTTAAGTTTACGATTTTACTGTATGATAAGACCAATTATTAATCTTTTTATTTAGTGTACATGTATATACGAAACTTACATACATGATATAAGCGTATACTTGCGTAAGCATGTTCTATACAAATATACTCAACGTGTATGTACATCCCTTAATCCCTCCGTTGACGAGTGTCGATTTTACCACATAACGATGTTACATCGTTGTGTAAACAGAATATACCACTATTCTCGCGTCGCTAAATTCGCTTGTGCCATTAATTTCTCGCGTTCCAGTGGGCTTTCCGTAGTCCGGTATTGTATGTATATATATAAAGCCAACTTGATGCAATACGCTAATATTACTTGACATTAAATTGTACATAAAAGTCATGAGGTTACTTTAATACCTAACAGGTGTTTATTACAATTAGAAAAAATATAGTATAAAGCTGCCTATATATGTTGCTAAAATGTTTCCTACGCTTATATTGAGCGGATCTATATACGTCGCCCGTGCGTGCATAATTTTTATCATCTATATTTCAAAGTAGATAATTACATCGATGCATATTTCAATTCCAGATACGTTAAAAGTTATTATGCGACCGGGCATCAAGTAACTTTTAATTAGCGCTTTGAGGTCTGACTCCGTAATTTTGTTAATCGGATATTCTATCAATTATTTTACAATCTGTTATTTTATACGATTTTATGTGTGATATCGATATTGCTATAGTACATACATAGTTCATGCGGCATTTTGTGTGCAGTATTCTGCCGCAATGGAAATGAAATCTATCATGTTGCGTGTTTTCCTCGTGAGCGCCGCGAGAGAATGGGTATAGCGGTGATGTATGTACCCGAAACTATAGTCTTCTGAAGAGAGATATCCTTTTCGAATCTTTAAGGAGAGTGTCTATAAAAAGCTGTCTATTTTCTGCGATCTCTATGCCTGTGTATCCGAATTATACGAATGTAGCGTAAAATCTGATGCATAATACTGTATATCTACATGACGGGAACAATGCGCGAATGACGTGCAATTTTGCCCTTCTCGTGTGAATATTTCATTATCCCTAGACTATGTATACGAGAAATTAACGTTTCGGATTACAGTAGTAAATTATGGACTTCCTTTCTCTCGTTGCATGAACATATTTTAAAAGATATTATGACTCTTGATGATCCAAATAAAATTAAAAAAGTTTCTTCCGGCATTCTTCGTTATCGTTGTTATCATCGTCGTGCAATTAATTCGATCGTAGCGTCAAATGAGAGTTGTGACGGACACGATGTATAAATTTTGAGTTTAAGGATTTATCCCGAAATGTTTCTCAGCCGAGGAACTGAAGATTTTTACCAAGTGCCTTTGCGTATTTTTGTAATTTAAGCTAACTCAGTGTAAGCCCCATGAGTATCGCACACTGTATAATCTATTATTATACATATATATTACTGATATATTTATTTGTTGTTAATTCATCATGTTTCCTGTGAGATCGCTGCGTTGTGTGATCTCGGTGGCGTAACTTTTCTTCCCAAAAATATATGTGATTTAATTAAATATAAATTATCAGGTTTTTATCTGAAAACTAATTAAAATGCCAAAGTGATAGGTACTTCCATCTAAAGACTCATTTAAAGTTACGTCGCCGACGAATCTCTTTGTTCATTCGTGCCATTAACATTTCCCTAAAGCTATGAATGTAACTTAGTTATTAAAGTGTCATTGTGTCTGCTCGCTGTAATACGTGACGTGACAATACTGCCAGTCCTTTTGATTAATAAAATGCTGAGAAAAACTTCTGCTTTAATCCTACATTATCATATAAGTAGTTTTCTGTTTGTTTGATTATGTACAAGTTTTCACATGATGCATGAACATATCATATCATTTACATATTCAATAATACATGCGTCTGTCCTACAAATTAATTGGAACATACAATATACCTAAATTTAAAGTTTAGACTTTAGTACATAAAAAAAATTAGATATTACTACTTAATATTGTTTATTGTAATACATGGTAATAATAGAGATTCCCAAATTTTGCGACTCAAAATATTATAACAAGAAAAAAATTTCTTAAAAAATTAAGTAAAAAAATCAATTAAGTTAGTTAATTAACTTATTCGTAAATTTTTATTTTAAGCAGTAGTTTTTGGAATATGAGACCAATTTTAAATATGCGGTTAAGTATAGATTATGGCCACCTGTCCATGAGTTGTATGATAATATTAGTAAATGTGGCACGTCGGCTTATAGCTGAAGTGCCTATCGAAAAAGTCTGCAATTGGCATATTCAAATCTTCATCATATCTCAAAAACTACTGCTTGAGATAAAAATTTTCAAATAATTCTTTTACTTGCTCTTTCGAAAACTTTCTTGTTATAGTATTTTGTATAAATTTATTTATTATGTACATATAAGTGTATTAATCTAAACTTTGAATTAAATTTTATTTTAATTATAAAGTTTTAAATTTAATATTAATTTTAAAAACTTGAAACAAATAATAGCTTTTTGTCTATTTCGAAAAAAAAGCGAAAGTAAATCTGTTTATGTGAATCTGTAATAATATTATAATAATACAATCTGTTTTTCAACTTTTGCAATTCTCAATTTTATTATAAACGATAAAAAGCTACTAATCTGTAGATCTCCAGTAATACGCAGTTGCTTTTATTGCTCCAATAATTGTTATTAATACTGCTTCCTTAACACGTGTAGGAATTACCGCGCATCATCGCTTATCGATCGCATGCCTGGCATGCGTTTTTTTTTTTCGGATTGTATTTGCTTCTTTTCCAAGCCAATATCTATCGTAAATCATTAGTATGTAGACACTTGGTTAACAAATACTCGTTCTAGACGCATGCGCTTTGTGCATCGATTATTTTGCTTGGTGCCAGATATTGCAAACCTCTGGCCATGGCAGATTGCCACGCAACCAAGGAAAACAAGTACTCGGTTCTTGTAACCTCGGTTGCACGTGTACTTGACAGTAATGGGATACAGGATGCTACCTGAACCTCTTGGGATTTAAAGAACCGGCGATGAAGAACGCAAAGTATGGATCGACTGTTCATTTTTGCGCATACACTCTGGTTTTATATACATATTAATGCAAATAAAAAATGTGAAATTGAACATTCTTATTGTCATTGTTGATAGCTTATACCAGGTAGTTATGTACATTTATATACAAGATAAAATAATATACACATAATATAGAATAGCTGCACGTGCCTACGAACTCTCTTTATGATCGTCAAATGCGAATTTTTCATTCGTTCATGATATGCTAATGCGTGAAAACAAATTGTCTCTAATTGCGATGTATTTAATTTTGCTAATTGATGTAATGAATAGTTGATAACAGGATTCTGAAGAAATTAAGCTCGGATATTGAAACTGTTTCAGCGTTAATTAATGCAATTATTAATTGTTATGATGTTTCTTTAATTAACAGTATAATTAACTAATGCAATATTTTACCATGTTATCAATTATGTTTTTGCATTTATGCATTAAGCATATGGTACCTTCTATATTATTTGTATTAAAATATTCACACAATGAAACATATATGGGTGTTGATAGACATTTTATAATATTTAAACTGAATGTAACAAATAAAATAAATGTTAGATTTTTTGTAAGTCTTTACCAATGTTGAGAAGACGTATTATTGTGATACAACCATGGCATCTGGAAAATCAACCATGGCATCGGCAAAACCAACTACATGCAAAGAAGCTATACGGCGATGGGAGGAGGAGAATCAACAAAATGCAACTGCGGCGACAGAAGTAATCTTGAGCTTTCAATGGCCGCCAATAGAAAAGATGGACAACGCATTGGCAACTTTGGCAAATTGTGAAAAACTCTCCCTATCGACAAATATGATTGAAAAGATTGCAGGTAAAATCCATAAAATTTAATGTATTAAGAAATTGCGAAAAAATTCTAAGTTGCGTAAAAATTCTGTATGATGGCTTACGGAACGTTACACCAAATTACGATACGACGCGACGATTTCCTTATTAAAATAATTATTTTTCTTTTAATAAGTATTTATATAATATTAATTCTAAAAAGTAATCTATATCTCTTATTACGAATTTTGAAAGCATAAGCATACATTTTTGCAAAGATGAAAAGTTCTTGAAACTATTTTTCTTTGATAAAAATAAAAATTAAAGTGTAAGTCGAATGTAAAGGGAAAGTGACAGAAATAATTGATGCTTCTAGTAGGCGAAATTGAGACAACGAAATGTTTAAATTGAGACAACAAAAGAGATGTTTAGAACATTAATGTTTATATTCGATTTACGTTCCGATTTTTATTTTTGCCAAGGTTTTTTTTATCTTACCGTTATCTTGAATAGATTAATCACCGATTATTCACGATTTGATCGATTTATGCAAATCACGATACGTTTTAGATTTTGCATCAGAAATGATGCATATTCGGACTCGTGACACCATCGATGCATAATGCATGCATATCCAAGCGTATGACCGCTTAGTAACGCGACGCATCACGATGTAAATATAATTAGGATTTATGAATTTCATGTCATTACGAATGGAATGTGCAAGAACACGCGTTAATGTTTTCAATTGTAGTTATCAATTTATTAGTGATAATAATCAGTGTTGTTCATTATATGTCGTGTAATTTCGTAATTTCGCGACAATTATTCGATTCGTATAACTTTAAATATTTTTTCTTAACATATTAAATTTACCTAACGTTTTTTGTTACATAATATGCTTTTATTATATAATTTTTATTGATAATTGTTACGATACATCACGCATGATGTTTAATGTCGATAATAAATTGCAGTAATTTTAGTAGTAGCAAAACTATGTCATAGGAAAATATTGTGTAGCATGCAAAAAAGTAATTTTTAAAAATTCTCTTTTGTAGGCGTTGGAACTCTGAAAAATTTGAAGATTTTGTCATTAGGTCGTAATTTAATCAAAGGATTTGCCGGTCTTGAACCTTTAGGCGACACTCTCGAGGAACTTTGGATTTCCTATAATTGCATTGAGAAGATGAAGGGCATCCAGGCAATGAAAAATCTTCATGTACTTTACATGTCTAATAATTTGGTGCGAGAATGGAACGAATTTGTAAGGCTACAAGAACTTGTAAATCTTCGAGATCTAGTTTTTGTCGGTAATCCGTTGTATGAAAGTCTCGAGGTATCTATCACATCAATGTATTCATTAATAAATATTGTAAGACATAATATTTTTATAATTTTTTTGTCTTTATTTAAAAAAGAAAATCTATTCTTTAAAATATTTTAAATATTATGCACTAGAAAAGAGAGTATTTACATATAATAAACTAATAAAATAAATGATGCAATTAAAGTATTTTACATTATAAGAAGTGTAAATATTGAATATATTGAAATATTATTAAAGATATTATTAAAAATTTTTTAAATGTGCAAAAGAAATATTTTATCATTTCCATATAATCATATTTTATAGGTAGAGCAATGGAGACTTGAAGTTGCACGACGTTTGTCAAGTTTGGAAAAACTCGATGGTGAACCTATAATACGTACAGAAGAAAATCCAATTCAACTAGTCAAAACTGACAGTCCGTCGCACGATTTACTTGATCAAGAACCTGTCTAATATTTGAAATATTTTATTTTCTTACTTATTTATAGTTTGATGTATATTTTGATAACAAAATTTATATAGAATTTGATTGTTTAGTAAATTTAAATTATTCCTGCGAAATAAAGAAAATCTCTTTAATCAAGTAGATATTTTCCAATTAGATTAATAGTAATAATTCGAATTTTTTAACCCTCGAGATTCAATAATTTTGAATTATAAGGAATAAGAATATTCTTGAATGCTCAGCGCTTATTAAATTTATAAATAAAATAGATACTATCTATTATTTGTATACTAAAACAAAACACAAGGAAGCAATGTGATCTTTTCGTTTGTATGAAATATAGCTATACGAGTAACAAGTACAGACAATATGAACGATATTAACTGTAGGATTAAATATTTTTAATAAAGCAGAAAACATTTTTTGGCTATTACATCTAATTGTAAGTACTATTTATCTATACTATTGAAATTTCTTAATTAATAATATGGACGTAAATTTGTTGTCAACCAAAGAAATTATTAATTACTCAAACGAACATTTATATTAATTTATTTGTCTCACGATACAAGATAGATCTTACATACCTTTTAGGTGGTTGAAAAAAGTTGGAAAAGCAAATAGTAGAGTTTAATTGGACTTAATGCACGAAATATATTCAGAATCAAACAGACGAATCTCCCTCTTCGTAATTGTTTTCTTTTGTTCTGGTTCCCTTTTATTATACAAGGCGTGCAAAATATTAAGGTGTGTTACGCGCAATGTTGTTCGTATAATTATCTTCTTTTATATAATTACATAACAAAGTGATACGTGCATTAGAAAAATTGACATATGTGCGTTTGACTGACAATGAATTCTTTCTCTTTTGCCTTTCTCTTTGTGTCATCCTTTCTTACGTCCTCATTTCTTACACGTTTAATATGTCTGCATCCCAATTTGTTTATATCAATAATTCTATAACGACGAACATAAAACGAAATGCAACTATTCTCATATTGACGTATTATCTACTCACGTATTTTAAATTATTTATATAAATTTCTAGAACAAAAACAAATACTATATATATTAAATTTTCTGGACATATATTTGATAAAGTGAGTATATTATCGCATTACCTTCACAATCTGCTATTTCGCTCTCCAAAAAATGAAAAGACTTATAGAAGTTAAAAAAGATCGCACTTTAAAAAATTAATACTAATTTCGTTTTCAATTTCGTGGTCAATTTTTTATTCGATTATAAGTGTTTTAACATATGCTTTAAACGTTAATCACGAAGAATTCGTCAACGTCGCATCAGAAAGTTAGAAAAGCTACATAGAATCGCATGTTTTGTACTAGCAAAATAAATTCAATAGAAAAATCTAATACTGAGAGCGATGCACACAGAGACCGCTTTTCAAGCAAAACATACATTCAATTTAATAATAGTTATGTTTGAAAGTGAAATTTGTATCTCTGCACTGACAATGAGAGAAAAATATACTAAATTTTAATAAATATTTATTCGAATAGTGCCAATTGAATATTTACTAAATATAAACATATATTTATTTGATACAAGAACTATTAATTTGATTTACCTATTATTATATTTTATTTAACAAATATTTATTTTCCGTAAATAAATGTTGTATTAGTACTATTCAAACAATTATTTATTAAAATTTAACACATTTTTCTTTCAGTGTGACACATCTTCAAATTTTGTTTTATTTTTCTTCCGATGCTGAAGGAATCACAGAGTAAAACATTTTGACAGAAGTGTCTCTGTTTTTGTCGAGTAAGCGGTCCAGCGAGAAAAGCTGCGTTGATAATTTAGTTATTAGGAAGATTAGATGGTAAAAAGATAGAAAGAGACTTTAGCCAATGAGGAGTAAGAAAAATATCATATATCAACCTTTGCGGCTTGATTCGCGCCGTCGAAGCGACGCTGAAGCGGCGCGGCTGCTCTTCGGGGAGGAAAAAATTTTATTCGGATTATTAGAAATATATTAGAATAACTTGATCTTAATTTAGTTAAAAAATATGCAGTTAAAAAGAATTTTTTAAAATTATTAATTAATACTCAACGTACTTTTGATTTTAAACATTCATTTTGACAATATATTTTATTTCCGTTTAACAATTATTAATGTAATTTCAATATCTATATAAGTTATTCATTAATATTATTATTCGTTGTGCTTTGCCTTGTCCGAAGAGAAGAGAAATTTGTACGACTAAGCGTTTTATATAATTTTTATAAGAAATAATAATTTTAGGGGATAATAAAGAAACTTGCATTTTCCTCCCAATTTTGTCGTGAATCAATTCTGCGCAATCGAGGCGGAAGTTTCCATGAACAGCCTCGATGACTTCCTCTCTTATGGAAGCTGTGAAAATAATTCGATTTAAAGAAAGTCATCATGTGTCGTATATATTATTTATGTTCTTATCATGGAAATCCCGATACCTATCTATCCACAGTTGATACTCGACAGACGAAAACCAGATCACGCGACCGCGAGGAAGTCTCGTTTTTTTTAGTTTATTCAAAAACATGAACACTCGTATTTTTCTTAGGAAAATCCTTAAACTGTCAGAAGCGCGCGCGAGATATTTAAATATCTGGGCCTCCCTGTATAAAAAATGTAGAATAAAGAACTTTACGGTCGCTCCGGTGTCGCTTCGAGCTTGACGAGACGGCATTTAAACATTTATCCTTAGCTACGACGTATTTTACTGTTTCCTGCATGTGCTGCGTCGTTTTGCTCTACACATCTCTTCTTCGACACAAAAATAGTTCTGATATATTTCTCTCGAGCCTCTTTCATAGTGCCTTTCCTTTTTTTCTCTTTTTTCTCTTTTTTTGATCCAACACCGATTATATTCAACACGATTTACACTGAAATAGATCTGACGAATCTTTGGGATGAAGGCTGGTAGAAAGATAGGCAGAAAGGTAGAGTGCGTGAAACAGAGAGAAAGAGAAAGTGAGAATCGACGACATATGGGGATGGACTTTCTCCTCTTCCTTTTTCTCCTCGATTTTTTTCATTGACTCTTAAAATTAGTGTACAAGTCTTGATAGCAATTGCAATGCAATCACCATGGTTTTCTTCTCCCCTTTCTTCAGCGCTTAAAGCGCTTATGTCGTGGCAAATCGTTGTTTCTGCTTTTTCACAAAGTCGAGGGCCATTTTGTCACCGATTCGAGTTTCCAGTATTTGGAGAATTGGATGATCTAGAACAAAAGGCACATATTTAATTTGCAAGCAAAATGAGTATCAAAAAGTAGAAACATAAAATAAAGATTTATATAAAGATGAAATTTGTAATATTATAGTATTAAATATATATTATTCAATTTCTAGTTATGTAAAATACTTTTAAATAGAATATCTTAAAATAAGATAAAAATTTGTGATTTATAATATTCTTTATTTATATAATTTTCCTTATGTCATAAATTCATGTAATCTCATAATTACAAATATTTCAAGATAGTTTTAAGTTCCTAGATTTATAAATTTAGTAACGAGTTTATTTTGAAATCTTAAATAAACTTTAGAAATTTAAATTTAGAAATATTATAGATTTTGTAAATTCTATAATTTATGAAGTTTGATTAATTTACTTACGTCGATTTTTTTGGTGCATAAGCGGTAATTCCTGATGCTTGAGGCCGTGGAAATTGTCTATGCTGGTGTTTGTGTCGGCGACGCCAGGAATGGTACTGAGTCCTAGGAAAGCTTCGCCTGCGAAATCATTCGCCGTAAGAACGTCATGATCCATTACCGTAAAAAGAACCATCGCGTTGGGATCACGACATTGCTCCACACTCACCGAACTGGAAGAAAGTATACGCGTATATATTCATTCAAAGTAAAAATATGTTTTCGATTGTTTGACATTTAAATCTAAATAATATCTTTTAATATAAATCTGGCAAGAAATGTATCACAAGACATCGTTACATGATGTAAAGTAAACATTAAGTTAAGTAATAAATTTCTTGAATATCAATTTGATGTGTGAATATTATTCCGTTATAGAATTAAATTTTGTAATAGCGTGATATATAATAAGCTTACAATTCAAAACACTCATCAAACATGGGATTTAGAGTTTTCTTTTTGACGTTAGTCTGCTGTTCGGCACAATGCTCGAACATTCGTCGCGGTAATAATTCGATAATCACGAAAGGATCGCTGAATCCATTTGGATCTAATGGTATTACATCTCTGGCATTGATCACCTCGACGCAAAGAGAATCATGATTCAAATAAGCTCGTATCGTTAGAACCCCATATTCATAACTGGTTGTGCTAAGTTGGTCCTAAAAATTGATATATAAATATATATAATATTATAATTAATTATATATTATATTATTACTATTATGATATTAGTTATAATTAATTATATTTAAAAAAACACACTCAGAATAATTAAAGTTGTATTAAATATTACGTAAATTTTTTACAATATTTCTTGCTATGCAACATATTTACATAATAAAAAAATATTAAAAAGAAAAAATATTTTTACGAATAAGAATATTTTTAAATCGTACATATTTGTACGACATTTGTACAACATATTTGTACAAGATATTGCTATTTGTATTTGTTTAATAGTACAATTTAAAATGAAAAAAATAATTATAAAATGAAAATAATAATTTAGATGCGTTGCATATTATATACCAGAAGACGTTGCTGATAATAGCGATCAATCAAGAAAGTTGTATCCATTTTGTGATACTGGAGACGTTCTTCCGCGTTCATGAAACTTTGACGACGTAATACTTCTAAAGGCAAGCCCTTATCATCAGCGTTGAAGAATCTCACTAATAAATCAAGTGCTTCGTGTAATCTCTCGTAAAACATCACTGGTTTATCCTGCAAGTAATAATTTTTTTGTTATTCTGTCGTTTGTGTAATTTAAATTATTTATAAATATATAAATTTAATGTTCTAATACATTAATCAACTTACAAATATCGTCGAAATAATTTTA